CGTGTAAAGCTAGATAATAAATTATATCTCTCAATTTCATCTTATTTTATTGCGCTGTTGTGGATCAATTGCGCAGAGAGTCGCGTCAGTTTGGGTGGGGCGTTCAGCTTACTGATCTTTCCAGCTTACTGATCCCGCACGTTACAATGTCCGTACGCTAGATAGTACAGTATACTGAGCTCTCTCGTTTCGCGTACGTACGGACTTTATGCAGTCACATCGTGGTACGTACATGATTCTATCGCGCGCAACAAGGAAAAGCAATACCTCTGCACAACTCCGCAATCTGTAGGCTAAACACGTCCATGTACATGTCCTACCCCTCTTCTCACCCCCTCTGTCTAACACTCATGCACTCCATGTCTCGTCCTCATATGCGCTGCAAAGCCCACATATATGAATCGCAACCTATACGATCAAAACTCTCCATAAACTCGGGAACCGTACATGCTTACCCACATTACATCCAACCCCCCCTCAGATCTAGCAAGTTAAAGCGTTACCCGTAGTATCCCGAATATCAAACAGGGGTCCGGCACGGGAAGGAACCGCTTACACGACGATATGCTTATATGACACGGATGCTTACATCGCCGAGGAGAGAATCGGAGTGAGGGGGGGTGGTTATATCCGAGGTCGGACTCGGTGATGGATAGGACCGGTTCACGAAGTAAGCGCAGATGGGTCGGGAGATGGTAACGGGAAAGTGGCCCGGTAAGGCTGACATGTTTACAAAGCGAAATACATGCCGAGGTCATGAATCTATATGCTGTTGGTGCTTGGCAGGGCATATGTATTGTGTCGAAGCGGTTTTCCATTCGTGTTGCCTTGAACGTACGATGTGGATCGTCTGCTTCCCAACTGAAAAAAAGTAACTGAAAAAAAGACTCATTCTCATCCCTTTTGCGGATACGACTTCCAAGTCACAAGTTATGTGATACAGGCTGCTTTACTTTACACAAATAAGGTTTCTGTAGCCGCTGAACCGGAGTGTTTAGGGACTCTATACATGTACACATATGCTTCAAGCATACATATTTGGAATTACTTTGACACCTGGAAACTATAAATTCCAGACTCGATGAGCAACTCATGCAATGTCAGCAAATATCTCTTCACAGGTCCGGCGACTTACTGATTGGTAGAGAAAGAAACCCTGCTAACTTTCCGCTTGCACCAAAGATTTGTGGGTCGAGGTAGTTCAACGCACCCAGCAAGTAATTGCCCGAATCACGCATCGATTATAGTTACTATCGCCACTGTCATGAACTTGTAGAGTTTCGTCCCATACTAAGCTTCTTAATACGCACGTACTATAGTGTATGAGTACAATCCGAGTTATAACCGCATTACCTAAATGTTCCTCCAAAATAGCTTCGTCTTGCAAAGCAAGAGAGAAAGATACTTCGGCACTAACCATACAAACTCCTCTCTGCACCTTGAGAGTTGAAAAGGAAGTGATCCTAGTGATTAAAAAATGCCTTGAGAAAGCTTCGCTAGCGCTCAAACTTGATAACCTTGTCGCTGCTTCTCAACAGTTTGAAAAAAAAAGATTTCGCCGCGAACATGTCCTTCAGAAATCAAACATTCCTTGGGGTCATGGAGGGAGCGAAAGACTTAATCTTTCGACCTTGCGGGTATCTAAGTAGCGACGGGTATGTCTATGCGAAAGAAGTAGATACTACTACTCACCATAGACATAGAATGCTTAGAACTTACTACTAGCGAGCGACGTTGTGTATAGCAATGGCACAATCTAAGAGAAAGCGAGATTCGACCAGAATGAAGCTGAACAAACGACCCAAATACGTTGATTCCAGCGAAAGCGAACCGATCATGGAATCATAGAATTAAGATTAATCTCATTGCCTGCGGCTTTAAATATCGGGCTAAGTAACGCGGTTACGTTAATTGCCTAGGTTGGTATAAAGTGGTTGTAGGAGTAGAAAGAAGGATAAGTATAAGGCGAAAAGTTATCACCCTATAGCTACACACTCATCGCAGACCAGCTCTCGTTAGTTCAGTGTTAATATCTTCAAGCGACTAGGCGTACTATTAAGTACTAGTAATTATTATATTAACTATATAGTGGTTTCTATTATAGTCGGACATAGTAATTTGCTTAGAAGAAGTACAGTAGTTAAACAAGGAGAAATTAAGAAAGCTTCCTTGAGGCTGAATCTCCTTTCTGTAAATCGGAAGTTGGAAGAAATTTTATTAAAATACAGAAACGGTCTTTAGAATCAGTCTCAAAGTCTCAGGGCTACTTTTAGTTTTCGGAGGCGATGCGAAGTACAGCGGGCCATCTTTTCGAAGAACATTCAACTAGCAAACCAACTTAGACTTGAATAACGTATTATTAAAGATTTAGGAATAAAAAACATAGTCATGTTAAAAATAAGAGCACAGATCTCACTAATCTTGTAAAATGTAGTTTAAACGACTCCCTGGTACGAAACAACAACGCGAAGAACTGCGTCTATGGCCATGACCTGATTTCTAACTACACTAAGCAGCCATTTGCGGCTAAAAACGTAATCATGTCCACTGACACCACGTGTAGCTCAGCATGTGGCATTTTAGCTAACCTAATGCGAAAGCGCGCTGGCATTAGGACGGTTGCACTTGGAGGCCAACCGTAGAAGGACATAGCAAAGGTCATAGGCGGTACCAGGGGAACTGACTATTTCGCTTGGTGGGAGATGTCCACGACACGGCAAGACATGTCATCACCGCCCGGATGAATGCACCCTAAGAAGCCGCCCGCCTTGACAACACGGGGGCTCGATACGAGTGCGGCTAGGGAGTCTGTTGCCGACAGTATTTGGTTGGGCAAGAATTTTCGAGTCGTTGGTAATATTGCGTTGTATTAGTATCCGGCTATCCGTAAGCGCGAACTCAGCCTTGAGGGAGAAGGATCACAACGAGGTGGAGCAATCGAGGGCTTCGCTCAAGGTTGCCGGTTACTCGCTTGATACCCAGACTTATACTGATCCTACTCATCTGGGCTTAGGTATTCAGTCAACGCTGTACGCTGCCACGAATAGTAAACAGTCGTAATCGTAGCACGAGCTAAAAAAGAGCTCTGATGTCACATACTCAGAAAGTCCTGACCATCAAACCCCAGAGTAATGCATATGTTCATCTTAACCTGTTTGTGCCTTCCTCCTCGTATCTCTCTTCCGAAAACCTACGCAGTTATCTCGATTCTCCGACACAATCCACCATCTCCTGACTCGCCCGCATGACACACACACATGCACACACGCACAAGCCGACTCCGTATCAACTCGCACCAAACCAACCAAACACCCTCGTCATCCACATCACGAACCCCCACCACGCATTGCCATCTCGATTCCAGGAAATCTCGATTCCGCAAAAAAAAAAACAGAGAAGGAGAGAGAGAAGGAGAGAGCGGAAGAAAAACGACTAAAAGCAATCTTCGATGCTCAAAAAAAAATAATCAACCTAAGAAAAAAAGACTAAGAGCCTCTAGTAGACGTAGACAATAGTTTACCTACTTACCCCAACAGCAAGCGCACCGCTGCGTTGCGCCCCCTCCTCCCCCTCACCTCGTATACTAAACCTACCGTGTACACTATCATCGCCCGATGCCCGGCAGTTCCAACCACCACACCCAAGTACACTTACACAAAACGGCGAAAGCAAAAAAAAAAACGCACCTCGGCACATGATGCTCTCTTTCTCTCTCTCTTCGCGCGCGCGCGTGCGCGTGCGATGCTAAGCCCTAACCTTCCCCACTCCCTCCCAAATTCATTCATTGATCACTAAACAGAAAAATAAGATAGATAGATGGGGGGGGGGTGGGTAGATTAAGAGAAGAATAATCTCCCGATGCCCTGCATGAAGCACTGACACTATGGTCATTGGGGGAGGGGACTTGAGCGTTACATGTACTTAGTGTTTCTCCCCAATCGTACGTTCTCCACTCGATAACATATGCACGCCATAATCCTGGGCCTTACTAGAGAGCATCCACCTACTGGATTTGGTATGTATTTCGGGTGGAGATGTGTTGGGTAGGGTTAGGCGGGTAGATGTTCTAGACACGTGCATTGGTGTGCGCGAAGTTGGGTTACAAGTATACGACTAGGCCCGGGAAAGCGGAGTCAATGTGTCCCCCCCCCATGAATGTGGTTTGCGCAAAAAGGTTGCTGCATTTTTTTTCCAAAAAAAGGTGGTTTCAATGTTTACGGGAGACTTGGATCGCGATACGAAGACAAAGGGGCGGGTAGATGGTATGCGGCAAGAAAATAAAACTGGGTTACTATGGGCAACAAATGGGTTGAGTGAGGCTAGAGGAGAGGTTTACGGGTTGCTGGGTAAAAACGGCCGGATACAGCGCGTAGAATTAAATAACAGAAGGATTTTTACATTTTTCATCATCATCTTCTTCTCTTCTTCCGGTGATATCGTGTGGATTACCCGACATGGTAGCGTGAGAGGGGGAAGGTGAGGAGAGGACAGATGAGGAAATGGAAGGGCCCAGACCGGTGTGGAGACTTGTCCTTTGCGGAAAAAAAGTCAGAGTCAGGTTCATGCAGGATGCGTAGCGCAAGGGAAAAACAAGGGAAAGAAGCAAGGCCGTTTATTTTTTTCTTGCTTGCAGCTTGATTTTTTTCTTGCGTAAGTTGGTCGCTAGGGCAGATCTAATCTCGAAGAATGAGAAGCTAGCGGGCTTGGCCTTGTCTTAACTCCGGCGAGTTGAGGCGTTTGTGAAGTGGTTCGAGGAGCTGGATGGTGTGTTCTCGACGTGCATCGTACCGCATGCTAGAGAGCGAATAAGGTTGGTGGGAGCAGCTTACATGTAGGGTGGGTGAGAAAGAAAACATAATAGCAACGCGGGCTGTTTGAAGGAAGAGTAGTGAATTTTTTTAACTTTACCCGGGATGCCGGGACCGGTTCGTTATCGTCGATGGCAGAGGGTTGTGCATCGGCACGGGTTGGTTCCCGTTGCAGATCAAAGCGGAAGCGTGGATGCGGCGGTTTGGCATTTGCGCCCATGATGCCTGTCCATCTCGATTCCCCTTTTAAAGCCGGCAGAAAAAAAAAGGACGGAAGACGCCTAAAAACAGTAGTCAAACAGCGACAGGGCAGGTGGAAAAGAAAAGGAGCGCACGGACGGCGGGAAATAAGACCCATCCACATCGGACACGGGAGATCTTCGATGGCGGCCTGACATCGTCGATGTGTCAAAGACGGAGACTGTGCGCGGGGTTACCAACGCCAAGAGGGTTTGGGGAAAGGCCCCAACTGTCATGGTTTGAAGCAAAAGGCAATGGACGGGTGACACGATAGGGCTGCGCGTTTGCGTGCTTGTTAGTCAAGTGCTCTGCGATGATGTGATTTGGCGGCTGAGGGAAATGTCACTGCGGGCTCCGACACAATCGAAATTGAGATCCCATGACGGCACATGTCGCAAGCGCCGCGTGAGTAGGGAAGGAAAGAGTGAGGTAGAGATGATGGCGGAGGGATGATACCTGTTGAGCCCAGGAAACTTCATCGCGAGATCTCAACACATGCGAAACACACTTGTGCTGTTGTGTTTCCCCTCTTCTCGCTATCTTGTTATCCCCGCACGCGCAACCAAAGTCGTGGGTATTAGCGGATCGATAAACAGGATCTCGATAACCCAATAAGGTTTTTTTGAGGAACACCAGCAAACAAACCTCCCGCAGGCGCATACACCAAACTGGGCCAGTGAACCTTGTTGTAACGAAGTTTGTCTGGAGAAAGGGCAGGCAGCCAACGATGTGCCGCGGAGGGCATCTGACACCAACATTGGATGCTGGACGCCTTTCTCCTGGTTGGGCAATTTGTTTGCGATCCCGCGATCTTTGGCTCAAAGTCCGGGTCCGCAAAAAGCCTGCATATTGGATGTGCATATGTATGTGTGTGCGTGAGCAAGCGAGTGCAAATGGGAGGGGGTCGACAAGAAATAGGTGGTATGTAAACGTGGGTCCTAATCTGCATCAGGTCCAGCCCGTCACGCGAAAGGGCAAAGGCTTCGTCGATGGAAGGGCAAGCGGGACGATGGTGGCGTCGCATGTGCACACAAACACCCCACTCTTTTTTTTCCCTCGCTTTCTTCTCTTGTCGATGGGAGTAAAGGGCATCAGGATCGCGATGGGGATCGGATTGTGCACAATTGCCATGCCCACAATTAATCTGGACGGGCGATCTCATCAGACCAATTACGTGCATATGGTAAGGGTGATGATTGCGCTTAGCGAACGCCACCTTGGAAGAAGGGACGTGTTTATGTAAGATGACTTTTGCGCGTGCTCCGTGTCACCACCCTTCGCCGTCTAAGTACACACCGGCGACCAAGAAGAGAATTGATTGCCTGCTACCGCTACCGCTACCGCTACCGCTACCGCTACCGCGCCCTGCCCAAAGTCTAACGCTTCGGCACATCAAAGACGTAGCAGTGCGATCAGCGGCGAGCATTGCACATCATCATCGCCGATGAAGATGCAACACAGAGGTGCGACTCTAGACTGTCGCAGGCAAACATGTACACGCCCTGCACGACAACGTACGCCCATTACAATTGATGAGGGACTGCGCGCGGAGAATAGAGTGAAATAAAGGTGGGGCCTATGACGGGAGTCTGACGCCAGACAGCCGGCTGGTGGGTTACGCGGGGGCGAGGAATGTTTTGCAATGCCTTCATTCTGACGTGCCTGATGCTATTCAATATTGCGCGTCCATCTCAAGGCGTCGTAGCCATCGTCAATCTTTGTCGTGGCTGTACACTGCTTGCGTCAATTCGCCAGCGGCAAGTCTTTAATCACCGTGACCGACTCTTGTCCAAATGCGGATGCGCGTGCATAGCATGCTAATACTATGTACATGGTGTATGAGTAGAGAATGAGTAAGTAGATTGGGACTACGGCCGTTGGAGGTTTAGTGTGGCTGTTCCCCATGCATGCGACTGTGAAGTTTCCAGCAATCGGCGGATGCTGTGTGGACATTGGACGGGGGCTTGGCAGGTACTAGTTGTTCCCCACTGACAGCCTATCACTTCAACCCCGACACCACGCACACCACCTGGACAAACTGCCATGCCGGCTCACTTGCCGGACCACGACAATGCAATGCAATCAATCAATCTACACGGTATCTGACACATTCTCGTATACAATGGCAAGAGGGGTATCATATTTCTCTCTCTCTATTTTCGTCAAACAAGCCGGCTATGGTGCAGCGTGGTGCTGCAAAGTCCAGCTCTACATATAGTTTGCCTTGGCGCTCAATGCGCCCATGTCCTCCCTGTCTTGTGCAGATAGCAGCAACCAGATATTGGGTACCAGCTGAAGGGCACCAATATACGTTGCCAACGCTCCTTCCCCTCTTTCCTCCTTCCCTGAAACCCTTCTCGGGCCTCTCTAGTGGCGCTCCATAATCATGCGCTCGGTCCTATTTCCTCGGTGCCAATGCTGTCCAAGCTACGGCTGAACATGCAGGTGGCAGTGGCCGTGGCCGTGGTCGTGGCAGCAATGGGTGATAGTGATAGTCGCAGTAGTGGCGGGCGCCTTGACAGCACAGGCATACGCATGTGCAGATAAGAGTGTTTGTGGTAAAGGAGCTGTCGAGCCATGCAGGTGGTGAATGGATGTATCGAGGCAGTGGAGCAGCGGCCTAGCCGCGTCGGTGTACTTGTAGCGAACAGTGTGGGGCGGCCAGGGGACAAGCTTCAGCCAGCGCTGTAACCAGTCATCCTAGCGCAGTGGCTGCAGTAGTAGCGGTTGGTGCCAATCTGGTACATGTTGGCCAGGCACTGACGGCGGCAGCGGCAACACGACAGCGTTGGTGGAGGCGTGTAGCTGGAACTTGAGGCCGAGCTGGCCGAGCTGTTGGACGAGGCACTTGAGGCGCGGTGCTGTGGCTGGAGGGGGTCTGGCGAGGGCCGGTGCGAGGCGTCGGTTTGCAGTTGCAGCAGACGCGAGGCGTCGGCGTCGGCGGACATGAACGACGAAGGGCTTGGACGGAAGGCCAGCAGTGGGTTGGTAGGGTCTGAAGGGGTGCACGCC